CAATTCAACTTGTGAAACAGTAAATAAATAATGTATGTAAACAGCTTGGCCTAAAATGTGCCCAGCTTAAATCTGTTTAGCGTGGGTGGTTGGATAAGGGAAATCCCCAACCTAGCTAGTTTTGCTATAACTTAAACCGGCTTTATAACTCCCTGTAAATAATAACTAGGTTAAATCTGTCCTAGCTACTATAACCTTTTGTAAATATTGCACAAGCCTAGCCTAACTGTGGCTACCTTGCAAATCCACTGTAAATATTAACACACAAGTCCCTACTCTGGATTACTTGTAATCACTGTAAATAATTAAATTCCAACTTCTCTAGCCTACCTGGCCTGCCTGTAAATTACTGCAAATAACAACTTCTGTGTATAGTCAGCTTGGCCTAGCCTCTGAGTAACTTTGACCTAGGTGTGCTAACTTAAACCTAACTTTTTAAACTGGTTCCTAACTGTGGCCTAGCTATGATAGCTTAACCTGTGGCCTAGCTATGATAGCTTAAAACCCAACTTTGTTAAACGGTTCTTAACTGTAAACCTAGCTATGATAGCTTAACCTAACTGTGGCCTAGCTATGATAGCTTAACCCAACTCGTAAAACTGGTTTCCTAACTGTGGCCTAGGGTATGAAGCTTAACCTACTATTTCCCCATCCGGGTTTTTTAAGGACCACTTTTGTGAAAATTTTGTCTGGGCTGCCTCCAATGAGTCGCCTACCCTGCAAACATCTGTTGACACCGACTCTGAGATGGGTACCTCAGCCTCACAAGTGGCTTATAGGACAGATTTTTCACAAATGATTGGTATTGCAAGAAACCTCGCCTGCATGCACGTATAAAGGGCAAAAATTACTTGGTGTTGCAGCATATATCCTGATCTTCAACTTCCTAAGCCTAGCTTTAGCCCCCTAGGACTTCCCCTTGGGAATCACGTGGCAACCGGAGCATTAATTCCTGCAATATTCCAATCGTTTTTTTAGTGTCCTGCCTGCACCCCAGAAATTCCTATATCCAAAGGGTATGTATCCCCTAGTAAACTATGCAGACTCAGACCGCTAGCTTCAGACGACTCTGAGAAAGCTGGTACTTACTGGGGATACTCTCTCTGTAGCACGCCGAGCCCTCAGTCACTCAACTCACAATCTCCTAAGTCACTGGCCAATCCTACGGGAAAAGGTGAATATCTCGTCTTACTGTAGGGCTGATGGAGGAGATCATCTAAAGGTACATCGAGGTGTCTCTACCAATTTCCCCAGGTCTCAGATGTGAAGACACGGGGGGCGCCGCCTGATGTTCACGGCACGTCTTGTCGTCGAAGTCTATCGTAAAAGGACGCTATTCTGTCTTTGTGAAACCTGCGCCCCGCCAATCAAGCTAGGGCTGCCATTCTCCCTAGCTAACTTATCCTAGTGTTTGCCTACATTATCGGCCTATTACTACCTATGTTAAGGTCTTAGGTCTACTCTATCATTATCTACAGATGCCTTAGTAAACCTAATATTAGTGTATTACCAGTAAACCTACCTACTCCTTCCCTGAAGAGTAAATCTATAAATTAAATAAGCTTACCAACCGCCAACCAGAGAATGCCTTGCTTGTTTGGGAGGGTTTAAGGGTCGCTCGGCTCAGACGACCAGACGCTCATGCTGGATCTGAGCTGTGGAACTATTTGGACCAAATAAATTTCCACACTCCTCATTGCAACATTTATAACCAATGCCTGACCTCCAGAAAAGTGTGTTGATACCAAGACTCTGGTACATTCCTCTTTTTTGCCTCTATGGATAAAGGTGTTCATCTTGACTGATACCTTATTGCACCACCCACCTTTTTATCCACATTAATTCTATTGTTTACCTAATCTTTCACAGACCAATCTGTTGAAAAGTTCACTTCCATACATCTGAACACATTTACTTCATCCATACTCCCTCCCTCCAATCTGATATACAGCCATTCATTGCCTAGAATTTTTGTTACTCTTATCACCCTATTCATTCCTATGCCCACTTAACTTCCCTTTTTTACATGCCCTTTCAAATTCCTCTTGCAACAATTGCCACATTGCTCCCCTATCCATCCTGTCATATACCTATTCTAAATCTGTAAATGCAACAAAAAAATTTTTTTTACCTGTAAGAATTGTTCACTTACATACTTCAATGTATACATCCCTTACTCTTCCCAAAACTTTGTTTCTCTGCAATCCTACTCTGTCTTGCTCTGAATTCTATCAGTAACAACTACCATACACTTTACCTGTTACACTCAACAGGCTTACATCTTTTATTTCCTTTCCCCTTAAGTAAGAGGAACTATCAACTAAGCATGCTTTTTGCCAATCTTTCCCCACCGTTTCATGTACTTTTCTTAGCTACACTTGTCTGGCTCTTCCTCCTGCAAGATTATACTTCTTGTAGAATGCACGGAATTCGCGAGAGCAGGCGAAATGTACACAAACACTGATCTCTGGCTGAAGGACTCGAACCTACGAACCTTAGAACAAGGTACGCAGTGCTATACCAAACTCACCACACTGGTCTCCAAGGTATTGGTCTAGTGTGGTGAGTTTGGTAAAGCACTGCGTACTTGTTCTAAGGTTCGTAGGTTCGAGTCTCCTTCAGCCAAAGATTAGTGTTTCTTGTAGAATGTATGAAATCACTACCTCTCTTCAACATTTAAAATATTTTTCAAAATATTCCCTCCGTCTTACAAGTACTTCCTCTACGTCCAATATAACGACACCCTACACAACACCCCTTTTGTTTTTAACTGCTAAATCAATCTGTTCCCAAGAATTTCTCAACATATTCTCACCTCAAAACTTTTATTCTCAGGAAAATGTGATGAAATGTTCTCTCATTGACACTCCTTTTGAATGTCTGGTCTATTAGACTGAGGGTTGGTGACTGATGAGGTCATTTGAGTATAAACTCTTAGTCATGTTCATGGAACCAGTTTGAGATGACAAGTTTTGTGTGATATTGTAAGTTATCCTCCTGGAAGCAGTCAACGGAAGATAAACAAAATGTGGCCATACAGGGATGCACATGGTCAGCAACAGTACTCAGGCTGTGGCATTTAAACAATGTTCACTTGGTATTTAGGGATTTAAGTGTTCCATGAAAACATTCCCAACACCATAACACCGCCAACCTGACTATAATCAAAAGGAAGCACTAAACCTACGAGGGTCAAACATCGCTGCACCACCAACCTGATTATTATTATAATCAAGGGGGAAGCGCTAAACCCGGAGGATTATACAGCGCCTGGGGGGGGGGGATGTGGAAGGCATTCAGGCTTAATTCGGGGAACTGGAGCACAGATCCCACCGGAGCCGTTGATACATGGCAGAACCATATTGTTTACTACAAATTCTAACCTTAACATCTTGTCACATGAGAAATAGCAATTCGCAAGACCAAGCAACATTTTCTCCAGTCTTCAGCTATCTGGTTTTGGTGAGCCTGTGTTCACTGTGGTCTCAGTTACTGCTCTAAGCTGACAGGAGTGGAACCCGGTGTGGTTCTCTGCTGCTGTAGCTCAGCCATCCATTTGAAGGTTCGACATATTGTGCACTCAAATGTTGTTTTAATATTTTTTTTTTAGGCTGTCACCTACTCAGCCTGAACCAGTCTGGCCATTCTCCTCTGGCTTCTCACTGAAAAGGCGTTTTCGCCCTCAAAACTGCCGCTCACTAGATGTGTTTATTACAACATTCTCTGTAAACTCTACAGCAGCTACTGAGATATTCAAACTACCCTGAGATATTCCAGGATGCTGGGAATGGGTTCAGTAAGTTTGGCCACAGGCCACCTAAAATCTGGTTCTCATATACACTAGAGTTTAAAATCTGGAAAAGAGCAGATGAGGAGTCAGAGTTATGAGCGAAAGAAAATCAAAAGAGGAAGAAAACAAATTTAGGCACCACTTATAGGTGTTCCTTCTGGGATACTTTATACATTCACTCCCTCCATCCAATATGACTTCGTTTTTCATTGCCTTAACTTTTTTTTAGTTACGCTCACGATGATCTTTACTTTATTCACTTTAATTAAATTTTCTTTTACACTTTCCCAACATATCTGCATATTTTCCAAACGCAAAGGTATAATTAATATTGGCCAATGGCCCAAACGAACAGGGAGAAAAAACTATAATGTGTGTGTATATATATAATAATATATATATATATATATAAATTATATATATATATATATATATATATATTATATATATATATATATATATTCTTGCCAGCCTCAGACACTCCAACATCCCACACTGTCACACAATAATTGTAATTTGCATAAGTAACTGGACCATAATTTTGCGACACGCACAAGAGAATCCCTCTGATAATCGCTATAATTTTAGCTACGCAATTGGGCATTATTCAAAACACAAATTATTGCTATTTTTTTAACTGCTACATTCCTAGTAAATTTCGAGTTCAAATTCTGATTTAATAAAATCTGAATAGCCTATTGCATTATCTGCTCAGTCTCAAAATGGAGTATTTCTACCCATTTCAGTGGGCAAGCGCTAAACCCATCTGAAATAGCATGATCATTTTGATCCCAGAAAAGGGGGATAGGGCTGCTCAATTCCCAGGATCAAGAGCTCTTCACCAGCATCGAGGCGCCCCCTTGAAGGGATTTTTTTTTTACTGGATGACAAAAAAGCCACATTCGTCACCCTGGGACAACTGAATCCAACAAGATGAAGACAGATGGCGCTGGGCCAACAAGTGGCAAAGATAAAGGCACAATTTGCATGAAGAGAACCTTACCGAAACTTTTCTCCTATGGAACAGACCCTTTTTAATAAACCTTGTACGGGCGAAACGTCTCCATAAGGTTCCTCCCTACAAGCTGTGTCATTCCTTCCCAAAAATGAATCCACTTAAAAACCGACAAAAAAACAAAAATCAAGACACTTTCCCTCCCGCTCTCTCTCCTCCCTTCCTCTCGCAGTCTTTTCACTGCTTTTTCCTACCCTAATCCTTCCTCTCCCTATTCTTGCCATTGTTACAGCCTAAAAAAAAAAAAAATCAACGTTAAATACACAGATACACGATATGAGATTACATTCCCAGGGTAAGTACTAAATCCGTACGAGTTACATAGCTCCTGAGGAAGTGGGAGGAATTCAGGTTAGATCAAAGAGAAGCACAAGTCCAATTCCTTGGATTAAGAGCCCCTTCCCGGCATCAAGGAATCTCCCTCGAAGGGAGAAGACCCAAGACATCCTGTGAAGGGTGAACGAAACTATTCCTTATTCTTGCTTGCGCTAAACCAACATAGTTCAGAATAATGCTATATCAACTCTCCACCATAAGACGTAGTAGGTTATGAAGCATAAGTGCACATGCAAAGTATGCTGTGTTGTGCGTATGCTGCATGTTCAAAATATGTTGTATGTCGCATTCCTGGTAAAACTATGCTGGATATTTCATATATGTTCAGAGTATCTTGTTGCATATATTATTATTATTATCAAAAAGAAGCGCTAAGCCACAAGGGCTATACAGCTTGTTGCATATAAACAAACAACTTTGTGTAGTATACAATGTTAGTTTATATGTAATATAATATTGTTAAAGACAAAGAAAGTCACAAGCATGCATGTGCATGCTAATTTAGTGCTAAATATATGCCGTGTTTGAGTATCGCTATTGTGGAAAATTGCATTTATCTGAATGTAACTCATTATGTACATAACAGTAAATGATAACAAAGATAATTATTATTTATCAGAGTTACATAGACAAGTAGGAATTTGGGACACCTAGGTCGCAAAAATGTCCCCCTTCGATACCTACCACTGTCATATCCACAAGTTGCTCTGGACCTATTAATTATCAAATGAAAAATACATCACCAGGAATGCTGGTAAATATATAAATTTGTGGACTGTATATTAAAATTAAAAAATGATTATATATAAACACATTTACATAACAGAAGGAGAATATCTTAAAAACTCACCAATTTGACTGGAGATTAAGGTGCATCATACTCAGAAAACCTCACTAACTAAATCTATGAAAATAATGCTGGCCAGAATTACACACAAATCTAGAGCTTATCTGAGGTTCCTGGAGCTGTCTTGTCCAGTCGTCTGATATCTCAAGTTATGCAGGAATGCATATCCACCAATTTCGCCTCCTATTTGAGAGGTGTCAGCACAATTTTAACCTCTAGAGCACGAAAAATTCTTCCCATTCACTCTAACGTTCTGTTCAATTCAAAACCAAGATGGCGAGTCTCCTGCGCAGACGCAGGCTCAGTTTTCGATAACATACTTCTTTTAAAAATACAATATAGGGCATCTATTTATCTATAAATTACCGTATTTCCGGAAAATATATACAGTATTTTCCACAGCTATCATTATAAACATGAGAAAGCAATAAATCCATACGAGTCAAACTCCTCAAAGGAGGTTCCTTGACGCTGGTGAGGGGCTCTCGATCCAGGGAATTGGATCTGTGCTCCAGTTCCCTGAATTGAGTCTGAATACCTTCCATCCCCCTCCACATGCGCTGTATAATCCTACGGGTTTAGCGCTCCCCCATGATTATAATAATATACAGTCATCAAGACTAGGGGATGGGGGTAACAATTTGGAGTCTTAAGGGAAAGGAGGAAAAACTCCTTGGTTTACGAGCCCTTAAAGGGGGTAAAAAATAAGGGATTTAGCCCAATTTATGCAACTTTTGGGGAAATTTCTTTTTTGAGGAAACGTTTTGGAAACACAGGGGTTTTCCCAATCATCCAATACAAATCAAAGGGGGAAAGGAAAAAAGGAAAGTGAGGTAACAGTCCCCAGCCGGGAGTCAAAGTGTTCAACCCATCAATTTGAAAGGGCAGTACAGCATGGGGCTGTAGCCGTGGCTTGTCAGGCGAGGCGAAGATTAAATGGTCTGAACACATCGACCCCCAGGCGGAGGACTGATTCCCTCACCCCTTTTTTTCCTTAAACCCTTCGATTTGTTTTGGACTGTTTGAAGCCACGTGTGGTGAAACTTTTTCCCTCAGGGGAAGACCCCCCTTATGTGTATAAGTGTCTCAAACCCTTCAACTTGGGGGGTTTTTTTAAACCATTTTATCCACAATATGATTGAACACATAGTGTAAAATTTCCGACAAGATGATGAAAATTAGACACGTGAAAAACATTGGGTACAACCCAAATTTTCAGGACATAATTTGTTTTTAAAATTAATTTTTCCTAGAATTTTTTTAATTGATAAACCCAACTGGGGGGCAAAACGTCTACTTTAAAAGATACCCAGTTTGTTGCATGTGTTTTAAATTTTTTAATGTTGCATTATTTTTGAGATTAAAAACCGCAAGTATGTTGCAAGTATACAGAGTACGCTGTAATTTTGTCGGGGAGGATATTGCAAAAAATGCTAAGTATTTTTTGCTAGAAACCATGACGATTTAACGTCACAATATACGATTTAAAAGGCTAAACAAAATTTAACAAGTAGGGAAGGGGCTGTTTGGAAAAAAAAAACCCAGCTTATTAACATAAGCTGAGGAGTGGAAATTTCCACAATATGACTAAAACGATATTTACACATTCACAATGTAAACAATGTGAAAAAAAAAACACGGTGCAATGTTGTTAGATAAGACACATATGCAACAGTTAGGTATCTTTATTTCGAAACGTTTCGCCTACACAGTAGGCTTCTTCAGTCGAGTACAGAAAAGTTGATAGAAGCAGAAGATGCTTGAAGACGATGTAATCAGTCCATCACCCTTAAAGTTTTGAGATGGTCAGTCTCTCAGTCTGGAGAAGAGTATTGTTCCATAATCTGAAACAATATGGAGTTGAAGTGACAGGATGGAGCCTTATATACCGCCAAGAGGCGAGATGTAGGCCACTAGTAGAGGTAAGAATGAAGTCGTTGGGAGGTCAGGTCCCTCTCAAATCCAGCCATTCTCACTAGTAGATGTAGTCCAAGTTGATTTCAGGTCTGTACCAAGATACCCTTGTGTTGAGGTGGTCAGTCCCTGAGGGGGACTGACCACCTCAAAACTTTAAGGGTGATGGACTGATTATATCGTCAAGTATCTTCTGCTTCTATCAACTATTCTGTACTCGACTGAAGAAGCCTACTGTGTAGGCGAAACTTTTCGAAATAAAGATACCTAACTGTTGCATATGTGCCTTACCTAACAACCTGTCGGTATTTTATACCATTTTAACATTCACGGTGCAATGTTGCAAGCGCATTGCCGGTGGCACTGCAGGTGTTGTAAACACATTAAAATGGGGAAAATCATTGTGTCGCCAGAACATGATTACTATTATTTGTATTATCAAAATTATAATGCTTTATAATTAAATTCATGGGGAAGCGCTAAACCTGTGAGGGGTCATGTCTAGGGAATGGGAGATAATCACATGGGATCCAGGTTAGCTCCAAGAACACTTCACCAGCGTCAAGGCACCCCACTGTGGAGTGAGGGAACATTGTCTCATGTTCCCCTTTTTGTAAAGTATGTTAGTGTGTTTTTACTGGTCATGAGTGAGCACCGAACTTGATACTACTAGTAATTAATTTTTTTAGCAAGTGTATGTACATGTTACTTCAACGTTTATTTATAGCGCTGTACAAAAGAGCTCATTGATTTTTTCCAAGGACAGTACCAAGGCACACACACATTATATATATACACATATATATATATATAATAATGTGCCGAATAGGTAAAACTGGTCAATTAGAAAGAACTCATTTAAAATTGATTCGTTTCTAAAATTTTCTTATACGTTTAAAGATTTTTTTTCATTTAAATGTAAAAATAAATAATTTTGTACCAAAAGAACCTTAGAAAACTTTCCTAACCTTATTATAACAAGCGCAATTTAATCTAGCCTAATCCAACTAAATATATTTTAGATAAGTTTACAATAATTTAACGAACACAATGAAATAGATTTTTTCCGTTAGGTCTCAGAATGATTTTTACGAAATTATTGCATGCACAAATTTTCGCTTGCCTTATTGCGTTGCTATATATATTCAAGTACTTAGGCTAAATATACAGTACATGTAGCTAAAAATGTTAATTTATTCCTTACACTACCTTAAATTTAGTGGAGACGGTTGCTGTGCCCCTGCCGGGCAGAGGTGGTTACCTGCTGATTATGACCATCTTAAGTGGGATGGCTGTTGAGGATGACTATAGGAATTATCGAGTGAGGAGAACCTGGAATAAAAGGTTCTCCTTTGGCCAGGTATCTCATGACAATAAATTATAATTAAATGAAGCGTTAAGCCAACAAGGGTCATACATGATACGTCATACACTAGGATGTATGTCCATAACAATAAAATTATGCTTAAACCACTCAATAACAAAGCCATAATTCCTATTTGAAAAAAGG